TTATTATTATTATTATTATTATTATTATTATTATTATTATTATTATTACTATCATTATGATTATAGTTATTGTTATTATTACTTCACTATAAACAATTGCATATTGATAACAATAACTATAATACTAATAATTAGGGCTCGGGACTTCTAGGAACTTGCATGATTTTAAATAATTATTCAAAACATAGCTAAGTAATATATAAATTTGTTTCATTGCAATACAAGTTAATATTTAAAATTTATATTTGCGTATTTTGCATATTTGACCATTTTTCATTTATAAGTGCATATTTGACCATTTTTCATTTTATAAATGCAAATTTGACAATTATTCATATGGAGAAGTAAGTTTTTAAATTTTATAAAAAAAAATTATGATTTATTTCTTCATATATCACGCGACTTGAAACTCTAAGTGTCTTATTGGTGAACTAACTGAATGCATTAAAATAATTAAAAGTACAAAAAACGTATACATTCTGCAAAAATTGAAGAATCTGCACAAGCTAAGGCTAACTACAAAAAATATCGAATATTTTAAATGGAAAAATGAATCTATAGATGGATTGTCTGCAGATATTAGTAGTAGTGACCTACGATTTTTTTAAGTTTGCACCAATAAGTTCCGTAGACGTGTAACGTTCCTTTTCTAAATATAAAAATATTTTGGCTGATAACAGGCAGTCATTTAAATTTTCCAACTTAAGAAAATATCTTATAGTCCAATGTAATGCTCAAGGTTAGAAGAATTATAACTATATTAAAAATAAAAAAAATGTTTTCAATTTAATTTATTTTTAAAACCATTTTAAATATTTTGTTTTTGATAAAAACTCAATATAAGATAAAAACAAATTTGAAAAAAAGAAAAAATTATCTTAGATCATCATATCTATCAATATAAAAATATTATTATAATTTATTACTAATTAATTTTTTATAAATGCATATTTTAATAGCATATTTATTGATTATTTAGGGCATAAATTCATACATATTTTAAGGTTTATAAGGGCATGAAGTCCCTAGCCCTACTAATAATAAACCGTCCGGAAAGTCGACGTACATTTTGCGTTGTAGGAAGATATGTTGAAAAACCCACTGGCTGATCCACGTTCAATTAATAACTGCGGGCACCTACTTATAAAGTGTTTTGACATAATTTCGATTTTCCTTATAATTATTTTAAGATATTGAATCAGACCCTGCATATTAATTTAATTAAAATAAGTGAATATGAACTTAAATCGAATACAACATTTAGCAAGGTTTTCCGTTGTCTAGTCAGTACTTGATGTAATCCGTCGAAAAATTGAAGAGCCCACAGGATCGAAAAAGGGTTATTTGTTTTTCGTAATTTTTCAATTCATCAATTAATTTTATTTAAATTTAACGAATTGTACAACTTAATATGACATAAGAAACAAAAGACATAATCGATGTTTCTTTTAAATAATATTACAAAGATTATAGAGAATGTACACTATTATTTTTTAGTCCGTTTATATGTACATTTGATCTAGAACAGCGTCACTCATCCTTTTTTTCATTCACATAACTCCTTGACCTCTTGCCATTGTTTTATGTACCCTCAATGGTCAATTTGTCAATTTTAACATAAGATTGATAAGAAATTACAAGATCAGTTTTGTTGGAAAATATTTAATTATGAAGTATTTATTTATTTTAATCAGTATGCGCTGTATAATGTATTTAAAAAAAATTTAATGTACATTTTACAGTTAAATTTTTATTGTGAATCTTGAGATTGTTTGGTAATACTTAATTTTTGAAATCTGGTTCCACAGATGATTAGTATACTCACAAAAAGTCTATAACGATGTTTGTTTTTAATGAACGTGTATAACGTGAAAAGACTTTCCGCACATACAGTGCTCGTTATCAAATACTTCATAAATTATTTATTAATTCAAATACATTGATTATTAAATTTTCCGCCATCATCCTTTTTTTTCCCTGAGTGTCCTCGCATATCTTTGTGCGGGTTACCAAAGGTTCGCGTACATTGTGTCGAGAAGCGCTGACCTAGAACAACGATTTTATTTTGCGATCTCATATACAATTGTTCTAATCGCACAAGGTATTACGTAAATCAATTGTACTTTCGGTCCTGCGAGTAAAAAAAGTGTGTGCAACTAAATTTGTCGTAAAAGAGATTTTTAAATGAGATCCTAAACAGTTAAATGAAAGTCGTGTAAACACGTAGAATATCGAATTTTTAGTTTTCGTGCAACATTAATCCTGTAATTATTTTTTAACCGCTCTGTATATTAGCTAATTGCTGTTATTCTAGTCAAATTTAATCGACCATTTCGAACCGACCTGCCGTTTGGAATCAACGCATTTGTCGCCGGATCGAGAAGTAACTAAATCGAGCCAATCGCAGCGGACGCAATCGAATTTGATCCAGTTGCTGGATAAAGAGCAATTAAAATACAGGCACGCGTGTTTGCACGAGTCTATGTTGCGGAAAGTCAACGTGTTCGATGAACAGATTTCGACGGCGGAGAAGATGCGTAAAGACCAGCTGCTCGCCGTTACATTTATTGATTTATTCGCCCTGTCGCTGAAAGAGGAGATGATGATCCTGAGAGTTTTTGATTTAATCGAGGACGAATACGAGTACGCCACTAGTCTGCAAATCCTGAAACTGAACAGCATAGTGGAAAAGGTAAAACGCGTTGCACAAACGTTCTGAGAGTATATCAGAATACCGATCATAACTAGGTTCATTTGATTCGGTAGATAATGTCGTTACGGGAAGACATACGGTATTACAGCAAGAAGATCGACGACGAAAAATTCGAGCTGGACGAGGTTATTAAAACGTTCGACGGGGAAATTCAGAACACGAGTTTTACAAAGTATCTCTTGAAAATCTTTATGAAGAAGTACAAGCCACCCAAAGTGAAAGTCCACCGCACCAACGACGGTAAAGACTCGACTCGGGTCGCCATACGAATATAATTCGGTAAGTTGTCGTGCTGAATGGAACATTTTCTGTTTCAGAATCCAGTTCGTCTTCCTCGTCGGACGATTCCGATAGCGAGTCCGATGGTAAGTCCGAAGAGGATGCACTCGAAAATCGGAGTGCAGAATCGAATGTGGCGGAAAATGAATTCGTTGAGTTCGATGAGAACGTAAAACCGGAAGATTTAGAGCAAGAATTATACGAATTGGCTTTTGTGTTGAGGTCGAAACGACATGGACTCGAACAATCCATACTGAAAACAAAAAGTGAATTGGAGCAATCGAATAAAAAATTAGCCAATACTTACGAAGAGATGGACGTCACGAACAAAAAATTGGAACAGGAAACGGCAGAATTGAAAACGTACCAGGTAAGAGATTATACGCAATACTATGCCAACTCGTGTATAATACGTTATATATCAGTTGTTATCGCTTAGGCTTTCTAAAAATTGATTTGATCGCAATACATTAGTAATGATACTTCGTCACCAATGTGTTGAACTTTCGATTATGATTACGTAGGTTAAAAAAAAATCGAAATTGAACGACGTCGAAACGACGGTGCAAATAAATAAACATCGAATATTGATCTATGCACCGTTAGAAGATGTTATCCTGTTTAACAATCACGTTTTGTTACAAATGAAAAAAAGTATGGTCGAATACAAAAAAGAAATAAAAGACTTGAAGGATATGTTCAATGAAGAACAAAAAACTGTTTATAACTTGTCCGCGGAGAGAAAAAAATTAAAGTGCGTTTTGAGCAGTGTCAAAGAGGTCCTCAAGACCGAAATATCAAATAAATTCAGATGGGAAACCGATTGGGGTTTTCTCGACGACATGGAAATGGCCATAATCGATACTATGATTTTGAATCATAAGTCAAAAATAAATATAAACATGAACACAAACCAACGAATTGTCAAGGAGTTGCAAGTGAGTGTATTGCTGATTATCGTAAAAATTGTCTACGCTTTACAGTAGATTACCATTTCCGAATGGATAGCATGCGCCCAAATAGTTTTGTTAAAAAAAAAACACGATATTGATTGGTGGAGTTTAAACCAAACGAGTGTCCATTTCAGTATACGACTAGGACGTAGTAATTTCAACGATCGTTTAATAATCGATAGGCGAACGGTGACACGTAAACATTTAGGTTTTGTTCCGTTTCGCCGTGTCTGTACAATAATAATTAAGTGCTGGCGTGTCGTTAATAATCGTTCGGGAACCGTTTCAGAAAGCAATCGAAGCACTGGAACAGAAAGAGAAGGAATTGCTGAAATACCATATTTGTAATACGGATAGACTGGTCTTCATGATGCACGAAAGAAAACAGAAGATGTTGTCTCTCCAAAGCAGTACAAATGGAGTAAGCGTATAGACCCTATTGTTTTCATAACGTTTACGTTACATTGGTACGCATCGATTTTGTGGTAACCGCGAAGTAGTTACCAGGTTTTGCACGTGGTCTCAAAAAATAATACTGTTTAATAGTGTCCATATAAAATGTAAAATGACGATTTATACGATATTATTTTGTTATCTTTGTGCAATAATTAGGTTTTTTTTTTTATTTTTATTCGTCCTGTCTATTTTTAAGGTTTATATGTTATTAAAATATCGGAACTCCATTTTTCAAAGTTACAAAACAGTGTTTCCGCGTGTCCATTAAAATCTACTTCTACTTTGTATCAACTCATTTAATTTGTTTTAGTTCATTGAAAAGAGGTGTATTTATATTTCGGTACTATTATTTTATATTTTTTCTTTTTAAGAATAACAATAATAAATCGTTTTAAATTAAATATTAGTCGACTTTTTTTATTTTTGTTCATATGCTTTTGTATTAAACAAAACGAAAATAATGATATTAAAACAATAATGATTAATAAATCTGTGTGTTCTCACATGATGTGCATTGGACGTTTTGATTTTTGATATTTGTTTTATTTCTCAAAATTTCGATTTGTGACAATATTGAAAACTCTATGATTATTTTACTATTTGTAATTTATGTTTTCTTTTTTCCCTTTTAGAAAAAAGTTGAAATGGGCCGCCAATTAATAAGAGAAGACTATTCTTGGTACAATAGTGTGAACAAAGTAAATGTCTAGATTATTTATTTATGATTAGAATTAAATTGAAGTTTATAGGTATAATTTTTGTTTTTTTTTTTTAAAAAAAACGGGGAAAAAATGCTTACTACAGTCGCCATAATGTTCCTTGCTTCCTCCAAAATAATTATGTCTTCAGCGCTACTGATAAGTTCATGAATGTTTAAATTATTTTCTTACAGATTAGCATTAAATATAATTTCAACACGGTCAATGATATTACATTGGAAGAAAATTGGCACCAGGTGTTGGACGTATACAAAATGCTTTTAAAACGAAAAAAAGATATTTGCAGTAAGATATTCGTGTTGCTGCAGAGGAATGAAGTATTGAATCAATTTTCACCCGACAAGGAAACCGTTGACAAAGTGCTGGAATACGGCTTAGAGGAATCTTACCAAGAAGTTGTGGATCAAATTATACCACAAGTTGAACAGGTCTTTGCAGAAGGGGATGAGATGCCACCGATTTCTGAACATCATGTTTCAGAAGAGATAGGAGAAGACGTTTTTGAGGAGACGTCACCGAACGTTGAATACTATGCGGTGGAAGACTCGGAAGGAAACGTTTTCGACGAGACAACACAAAGTATTGGACGTCAAATTACAGAAGACTTTGAAGAAGAAGTTGACAAGGAAACCGTTGACAAAGTGCTGGAATACGGCTTAGAGGAATCTTACCAAGAAGTTATGGATCAAATTATACCGCAAGTTGAACAGATCTTTACAGAAGGGGATGAGATGCCACCGATTTCTGAACATCATGTTTCAGAAGAGATAGGAGAAGACGTTTTTGAGGAGACGTCACCAAACGTTGAATACTATGCGGTGGAAGACTCGGAAGGAGACGTTTTCGACGAGACAACACAAAGTATTGGACGTCAAATTACAGAAGACTTTGGAGAAGAAGTTGTCGACGAGATAATGGACAGGAAGCGAGATGGTGAGTCCATTAGTAACGAGTTGGTTCGTAGCGATAATATGTTGGTGGAACAGAAGTGAAATCACTGAATCTCAGAACGAGTGTATGGATTAATAATAGAAAATTGACAGAAAATCACTACCCGTGAGACATGAATGCTAATATGCAGACGGGGTTATCAATAATCAATGCAAATAATATTATAACGTTTTTTCGATAAATTATATTTATATTTTTACTTAACCGTCATAAATTCATTTATTACAGAAAACGGTGAGACCAAAATCACTAACAAAATCTGTAGACTACAGTCAGTATGGTGTATAATATATATATATACAATGATGTAATTGAAAAAATAATTACATTATCATGTATATTATTTGACTATAAGAACTATTGTGTGCGTAGCTATAATTAAAATATATATATATATAAAATTATAAATACTTTTCAAAAATATATGGAATCCGAATGCATTGAATGATTAACTAAATATTACACACTAATACAGCGTTTCTTAAAATGTGTTCCGAGGAATCATAGGGTTCCGTGGGACAATGTTATGGGTTCCGTTAGATTGTAGGTGATTATTGAGAAACTTATTTTATATTATATTTGAAAAAAATAATATTTCATATTTTTTAAAAAAAAAATTGTGTTTTAAACTAATTTTAATAAAGAGTAATCATTAACAATATTAACAGTATCATTAAAAATATTTTAGAGTATTGGTTTTCCTATATTTTTTGTTTTTTAAAAAAATTATAGTTGAATTGGAATTAAAGACATTAGGGTTCCGCGAAATACAAACTATTTTTTAAGGGTTCCGTGATTGTAAAAGTTTAGGAACCGCTGCACTAATATGTATAGGTGCAATTATTAGTGCTGGATCTGAGAAATTTGACGCCCGGGGAAAATAAAAATGCGGCGCCCTTATGTAGGTGGAAATCAGGGTGTCAAAAGAAAACAAAAAGTATAATTTTATGTACCAAATATTTTTATTGAAACTTTTGTTTTCATATATACCTAATTCATATAGTACAGAATGTGTCACGTTTAAAAATCATTAGTTAATATAAGGACAGAACTAAAAATATCTTGGTTACTTTAATTTTTCAAAAAAAATTGTATTTCTAAATATTTCTAAATTTAAAAATTATTTTTTCTTCTATTATAATAGACAAGTAGTTACGTCTTGCTTGCTCTGTAACATATCGCTGGTATATTTTTATTAATTTTAGTTTGTTAAACTTTCGTTTAAGCGTAGTTAAAGTCACAGACACCGTGTGATTTATTTGGTAAGAAACTGATATATTTGGATATACATTTTGAAATTTATTTTTATGGACAAAATTCAACATTTCAAGAAGCTCGCTTTTATTTGAAACATGTAATTTGCAAACATGCTCTTTTAACCTTTGTTTTTCTGAAATGAATTTAAATCTGTCGAGATAATTTTTATATTTATTGCATAAGTCGACAGTAGGAAAAGAATAAATTATTGTTGGATTTAAAAATTAAAAATCTTGAGCAACATTTTCCATTAATTAAAATATTTGACCAAGTCCTGTTGCGATATTGTTAGATATTGACATTACGATGTTTACTGCGATCGATGGTTCTTTTCGTGTAGATATTTCGAGTCGACATACCGTGCAGGACCCGGACGTGCAATCCGTTTCGTTTTGTTCGTGGGCGCTCCGAACACACTCCCCCACGATGGCGGAGATCGCATGTAAAAGACCGTTGTTCGTTTCGCGTATTGTGTTCGTTTGCATATCGTCCACGTATTGTGGGTGATTGTAAACTCGGCCCATTTTTTTTTCAGGTAAAAATAATTTAAGTGTAAACTCAGCCCGAGGTTTTTGCAGGTAAAAATAATTTAGGTGTTAATTCGTCCCGGATAAAAATGTACATTTGTATAATTTTCTTATATTTTTGAGAACCATTTAGCATTACCCAGAGGAAACCATGAGAAGGCGTTGTATATATTCCTTTTAACATACTGAATATCACTTGTAGATCTTGAGCGTCAGGTATATTGCTTACTGCACTACAAAAAAATTAGTTTGTTGGCCTATTGCAGATATCCTCAGTTCGTTTGCGTTTGGCCACGGTGGTAACACATTGTCGTTGTAGTACTTGGTACCTGATAGGTTCATGCAGATTACAACCGACCTTTTTTATTACTTGAAATTTCCGTGCCGAGTTTACAATCTACCTACTTTATTACCTTTATTACTTTATTACTTTATTAATCGAAACTCTAAAAAACAAAGATGCAAAAAAAAAAATAGAAATATTGATCTTATATATAAATCATAATATTTTAAAATGTTTGATTAAAAAATTATTCAAACTAACAGTTCAGTTGTAGCAAAAATGTAAATATGTATTCCGTGTAAAAACATGTAAATTTGTGAATATGAATAGTGTAAATAATAAATAAAAGTATGTACAGTATCAAGGAATGTAGGGAAAGAACCGCTACGTGGTACATTCTAGGCAACAGTGGGCAGTAGCTTTATTTTATGGTAATTAGTAACTACCTTCTGGCTAATCTTTTCTAGTCAAATTTTTGTATCTATAATTAGTGTGCTTTTATTTTTTAATTTTTCATACATAAATGACAAATGTATGTAAATTTTTAGTCGCCTCAGTCAAAATTGAATCCCAAAACCGCCACTGCTATTTATACCAAGTCGGAGATTCCCACCGCCGTTGCGAACGAAACTAATAACACAGATATATACTAATTAATTATATATATATATATATATTATTATATACTAACCAATCATTATGTCTAATATTTGGTCGTCATCGCACACGCACACACACAACAACGTCGGGGTACACGTGCGGCCATAAATATTTTTGTGGTTACGGGAAAGTACGCGCGGCGTGTCGTACCAGTTACCGACGACGCGTCGGTTTTGCGACGGAATTACATTTCGACTATTTTTAACCATGCCGTTAAAATCTCATAGATCTGTAATCGGTTCGGTGTTTTCACGTACGTATTGCTGTGCGGCTAATAGGTATAACAATTATTGTTTTCGACCGTTTGATATTTGATAATTGTTCGAAGATACATTTCGAAATAGATCGGTCCAATTGTTGCGGACGAGTTACGGTTAGGTTACGACTTAAGGGGCCTCGCTACGGCTATTATTTAAGGGGCTATTATTTAATTATTATTATTTTACGGCTATTATTTATTTAAGGGGCAACATTTAGACAATTTCTAATATCGTCACAGCCGCCCGAGATCTTTGTGTTAGTTGTAAATGATTGTTGATGTGCGTAAAATTCAAGCCGGTACCGCGCTCCCTTCCATACTATCAGTGCAGGCAGACGTAATCATGCTATTATTATAATCGGTGTTGCGTTGAATAATTTCGGAGAATTATTTTTAGGTTCATTGGTTTATTACAATTATCAGGTATTTTGTCAATCAGACGTGTAGTATGCTATGAATTGAACAAAATGTAATCGAATTTTCAACTACAAAATAACTTCAATTTTTTTTAAATGTTGATTTTCTTTGTGAAGTTCTTCAACAAAATTCTTTGAAAATTAACTCCGCACAAAAAATGTCTATTACTATATAAATTACTCTATATGTTTTACTTAAAAAAATGAATAATAAATACATCATAATAATAATTATATATTCTTTATAATTCATAAGAATAATGCGTCCAATTTTGAATACATTTGATAAAAATGCAAAATTATACTTTTGGCCCCCTTTTCTGACGAATTTAATTACATATGACTAATTTAATATTCATATACGTATAAATAATTTTTTCAATATAGGTACATTATAAATTATAGAAATATTATAAATAGTTTATTTATATTTAATTAAGTATCTGTGTTACTTTTTTATTTTCTCGCCATTCACATAAAGTTGCAATATTACCATGCATTTTTTTATGTTTTGACGGGTAATGTTTTATTGGTTTTCGCGCCAGAACGCCAATTTTTAGCCATTGTATTATAATATCAATACTAAAAAAAAATAAATTTAATCACTATCTACCCAAAACTATATTTGACAACTGATG